AGCTTGTCTGTGACAACATGTACACTGAAGGGTTAATGTGCATCTCTCATGACTAAAAAGACTTTAAACGCTGTGCCTTAGTCTCCCTGGCATTCCTCTACAAAGTGCTTGAGGCTGGGTACTTCAGGCTGCTGGCCTCGCAGCACTGGGGGCTCCAGATGCAGAGCACATGCTGGGCTCTGCAAAGGTCTCCTGGAGTGTCCTCACAAGATCAGAACCAACCACGTGAGGAGACCCAAAGCAAGATGACCAGGACGGCCAGGCTTGTTCCCTGCCTCAGGACCTTCCTGCTCAGCACCTGGAGAAAAGCACTGAGTCCTAAAGACTTTAGTACCTCCTCCTGGGGGACACGTCCCACCAATCCTCTACTCCACCTCTCTTCCAACCAAGTGTTCAGTACAGCAGTCTTTAGGATACAAACAGCAAACAAAGCCCAGCAGACTGCAAAACCTACTCATCTTACATGACCAATGGAATGAATAGCAAGGAGAGAAAGAGAACGAGAGAGAGAGATATGAAGAGATGATCTGATGAATACAAGGTGTCACTTTCAATGTGGCTGCCAGTTGAGGTAGTAGCTTCCAAAAATAGCCAGGGGGAAAAAAACCTAGAAGGAGAGGGAGAAGCAGAAAAAGAAGGAAGAGGAGGAAGAGGAGGAGGAGGGCTAGTTTCCTCAGGAGTAGTCTTAGAACATTAGGAAAGGTGGTGCCAACCTCTACAAGAGTTCCGATACAAAGGAATCAAAGTGTTCCACACAAGAAAACAGGAGAATCTGGAAGCATTCTCTATCAGCCTGGAAGGGAAGGACTGTAGGTCCCTGAGACTGGCAGGCTGCACAAAGGATTTGTCCAACACGGTGCAACTTCCAGGCAGGAAGAGGAGCCTGGCCAGTGAGAAACCCTCTGTGATGGGTGGTCGGCATCAAACGCTCGCTGACCACGGGATTGGGGACCATCCCCCAGCCTATGCCAGCATAACCCTGTCATTCCCGAGCTCTCAGGAAAAGTCTGTGGTGTGCATGCCACCATGTGGCAGCAGCTCTGGGAACTGACAATAGGAGGAGGTGAGGCCACCACAGCGCTGACCGGAAGCCAGCAGGAGAAACAGCTTGAATGTCGCTGCCGCTCGCACTCTGCACCCACCTGTCTGCTGGATGCTCAGCTGTGTGGGGAGCAGACTTGCTTCTCACACCACGTGCATCAGCTGCGCACGGGAATGTGCAGAGCGGAGAATGTGGGGACACCGCACTTGCCAGCATTGCAGGAAAGCGTTTTGCAAGATCGCTGCTGTAATCTGACCACCTGCACAAACCCTATTTTTCCTTAATAAAAATATCAGAAGATCTTAACTATAGTTTCAATTCTATTTGTCACAGTTTTCTCTGGTTTCCTTTGGTCCTTATAAATCTGGTTGAGCTCAGGAACTAACAACAAATGACCCAAAATCTAGAATAGAGATAATACGTAATAAAAGCAAATTGTCTCGAAGACCCATGTAGAAAACCCAGATGTGTTCCATTAATGCTGTTTCTGGTCCTTGAGCTGTGAGGACTGGGAAGGCTCAAGCAGGGAGAGAGGCAAGAGGTGGAGCTGCTCAGTACGTGACCCAGAAGGTTCTGTCCCTCGCCTGTCTCTGCTGGAGCCAAGCAGCTCCTCCACACCTCCACCTGCAGTCTAGAAGGACGGAGCTCCACTGTCTACTTCCCTTCTGCTGTGTGCAGCTGTCACCTTTCAATTCACTGTCCTTCCTTGCTCCTGGCCCATGGCCTTCCATTTGCAGAGTGAAGCCACTCAGTCAGACACCCACGCGCTTGCTGGCAGTAATTGCTGCGCTCTGCGGGTATGTGCGGGTCTCCAGGAGCCGCCCAGGATGTTCCAGTGCACTCTTTGGAGTGAGAAAGCCCAAGCTGGCGCCAGGGAGTTGTCGGTAACCTGCAGCCTGTCTCATCTGCCCGCAGACCTTGCCACACAGCAGCGATCCCGTGGGAAGATCCTGAAGACTGCCAGATGAAGTAACCAGACTGCAGGCCCATCACTGCTCAGAACGTCACAGTGGGCAAAACGGAAACACCAATGAGAGCCACTGCCTTGCCTCACACCAGGCCTAAGTTTCTTTCATCTTATTAGTTGCTAAAATGATTGCCTTAAATCCTTTCTGCAAACTGTTTTTTTAAAGAATGCTGGAGAAATAAAGAAACAAAGCATCAAATAAATTTAATTTGCATAAACCTCTGTATAAGCCTAAGCCACAATAGGAACCAGATGGTATCCTAAACGTGGGATGATTCAAGAAGGATTTACTTGAAGAGGCCCCAAGAGGGGATAGGAAAGCCACAGCAATAGTGTGGCAAACTGGAGTTAGTAGTGAACTGGAGTTAGTAACGGAGTGGCTCACATCCCTCAGGCCAATGCAACCAGAGAAGTTCCTGGAACCCAGGAGCACAGGACACCTTGAGCCACGCAGTGGACTCTGGAGGACAGGGGCAACCATTTCAGGCCTTACCCCGGGAAAACCAGATGAGCAAACAGCATGAGTCCTCTCTACTCACTGCTGTCCATGGAGAAGAAAGCTGATCGCTGACTCCCTGCTGGCCAAATCCAGGAAATAAGCACGTCCTTGCGTTGGAGGTCCTGGCCCTTCTTTGACTCCACTCTCTTCAGTACCAGCTGACGACTTGCTCCTCCCAGAAGGTCCCTCCCTCTTTCCCTTCTGACAGACTATTCCGTCAGTGTGCCGGCATCATTGCTAACAGCTCCTTCACAATGCATCTGTTGCAACCTACTCCACAGCGACCCTACCACCCACCCACCCTTTCTTCTTGGGTGATTTCATCTCTGTTTTCATCAACACCCCCTTGCACCAAATTTTCAACTTGCCCCAAATGTCCACTATGACGTGCCTTAGTGTGGGTTTCCCTAGAAGCAGATGAGACTCCAATGCAAGTGGACTATTTTGGAAGTGGAACCAGGAAACATCAGCAGGTGAGCAGTCGCATAAGACAGAGAAAAGAGGCACCCAACCAATTAAGACACTCAGGCAAGTGCTACAAAGGATCAAAAAGATTTGCAACAGAGGGGAACTCCAGGAAACCATCTAGAGAGCTTTCTTAGTGGCAGGGCAAGCAAGCCAGGGCACTGACCCAGTTACTGGGAGTCGCTGGTTTAGGGCTACTTCCAGCCTGCCATGTGTGGAATAGCCCTCGAGGACGGCTGTGGGCAATGGAAAGATGGGCCAGGACGAACCAACAGGGTAAGGGCCAGAGGCAGCTAAGTGGAACAGTGCCAACATCTGCCACATTTCTACATCCCTTTTTGACCCACAGCTCTGTTTCACCAAGATCCACACATCCAGCTGCCTATTCCACCCTCTACTACAGGGCCTGCCAATGGGGACCTTTCTCTCCCAGCCTGGTTTCCTCCCTAATTCCAGAAACTGGGATCACAGCCTTGCAGCAGTACCCCAAATCAAACATCTATCCATCTTCTGTGACATGCCAATTGGATGCTAACCTCCCAAAACTTCTTCCAGCTTCCACCAGTTCAAGTCCTATTTTAATCCCATTTGCTAAGTCAACTCCTAGTTGGCACGCTGGCTCTTTAGTCACACTCCCATGTCATCTTGCTCGAAGTCCACCAAGCACCTCTCCAGGGCCCTTTCTCACCTGAGCACAGTGATCCGGCCCCTCCTGTTCTCTCCAGTTTTTTTCATTACCCCTCTAAATATTAGGTCCACGGAATTGCACATAACTATACACAGATTTCAAAAGAAAAGCATTTGCACCCAAAAGAACTCATCTCTTGACCTCCATTACCCATTCTGAAGCACCCGTCCACGCCCACCCGTGCGCATGCTCTCACAGCTCCGCAGCCATGACAGCTGGCAGATGCAGTTGCTTGTCCTTCGCCATGTTCACTCGTCCTTGTCTTACCTACCTGGTAAACAACTGATCCTTCAAGGAGTCCGCCCGGGGAACTTACCACGAAGGCTTAAGCGAGACGGTTCCAGCCAGTCCTGAAGCTTTGCCGAAATCAACACACTGAAATTCCAGAACTGGTAAGACAACTCACATCAAACAAACTCACATCATGAGCTGCAAATATGCACCTCTCTCCTGGGCTGCGTGTCCAGACCCATTCTCACACTTCCTCCGAGTCTTGCTGAAAACGGCAAAACTATCATTGTAATTCGATCCCACAGTTGACACCGTGATTGGTTCCCTACCACAGGCTAGAAGGTGACCAGTTGCTAAGAAGTGGGGGCTGACAACCCCTCTGGTGAGATCACAAGGTCTTCAAGCAAGGTAGCTAGACAATATCTCACAAAGATAATAGTGACAATTTAATGACAATGATGGGGCCCAGCACCATAGCTCAACAGCTAAATCTTCACCTTGCATCCCGTATGGGTGCCAGCTCCTTTTTCCGGCTGCTCCACATGGGAGATCTAGAAGAAGCTCCTGGCTCCTGGTTTCAGATAAGCTTAGCTCCAGCTGTTGAGTCCACCTGGGGAGTGAACCAGCTGGTAGCTCTTTTTCTCTGTCTCTCCTTCTCTCTATAAATTCAATTTGCCTTTCCAATAACAATAAATAAATCTTGAAAGAAAATAATGACAATGATAAATGTTGGAGCTTGTAAGTTTGCAGCGCACCACCCACGCCCAGGATGACGATAAACTCCCAGTTTGCCAGGCACAATGCTGTGTTTGCTATCCTGAGAAATCATTCCTGATAGCCCATCTTGCTTTCAAATATGTCCCAGTTCCAAGCACCTGCAACCTATCAGACACTCCAGGACACCAGCAGACACTCCAGGCAACCACAGGGAAAATCTGCTTTATTTCTGAGTGGCATGAGTACCACCAGTTCATGGTCTCTAGTGCTTGCAGATTTGCACTGGGTTTCAGCCAGATGGAGTCAAGAACTGACCCAAATTCCCACCGTCTTGGGAATCTGTTCCCAGCAAGCGTCTTAATTGCAAACTACAGAATCTACTCCAGAAATCATCAAAGCAGAAGGAATTTATTAGAACATACTGAGCTCCTACAGAGTAGCGAGAGGGCTAGAAACAAACCTACATCCTCACCCCAGAATTACGGAGCCAGAGGAAACAGACAAGGGTGTGGCACCTACCAGAAACATCAGTGTCCTTGTCAGCCTCCGCGCTGCTCACACCAGGACCGGATGTCACACCCATCGCAACGGACACCCAGGAAAACAATTTCTCAGTGCGAGGTAGCTCTTCAGCTCTCAGACAAGTACGCAACCTCGCCGAGCACCTGCCCTGTCCCCACCTGCATCCCAAGGCTCGGGCAGTACATCTTCCCTGTAAACTGGGTTCTTTTCCTAAGAACACGGGAGTCACATTTCACACCCTGCCTAGTCAAGTGCGCTGTGCACCTACATTTGGGATCTTGTTAGAGCAAGAAGCTTCAGTGAGGACAGAAGGGGAAGCGATCTGTGGCTACCTACCAGGAACTGAAAGGGACGGGGAGAAGAGCGGAGGTTAAAAGGGGAAAGATGCCGCCAGGATCCTTGGTGAGAGCGCCACTAAGGGTGGGGAGTGGTTTAGGGACCACAAGCTCACTGGAGGGGATTGAGAGACTTGTCTAGAACTGTGTTCATGGAGCAGGCACACTGCTCTGACTTAACCCAGCAATGAGCTAAACCGTCACACCACCACTGAACTAGAGAGGAGACAGCCATTCTGAGCTCCAGGACACAGTGAATCGTGGATGGGTCATCCCTACGCCAATCCCATCCAGCCTGCCCCAGCAACGGGGGCCAGACCAAGTGAACAAGCACGCCTCCCTCATGCTCATCTTCATTTCTCTCTCAGTTCCCGACTTCACAGCGCCCCTTTGCTTTCAAGGGGTGTCCGAGCAGCAGTCGGGACATCTCGAACCCCAGGGCGCTCTAGGTCAGCCAGTGGACGCTCCCAAAACAACCCGTCCGTACCTCCTTTCCATTCACCAAGCTAATCACAAGCCGGCCCAGACGGGGAGCGTTCCTGCACGCCCCTGTGGGCGAGGTGGGGGCGAGGGTCTGGGCTGCTAATCATAGACATCGCGGCTCCTCAGTTCATAGCACTCGGCGTCCTGGCCCTGGAGCAGCTCCTTCTCTTCCGAGGCTTCGCAAGCGTTGGGCACTGGGAAGCGGGCGGGGGAGGCGAGGCACTCGTAGTGCCGGTCCAGAGCACGCAGGTAGGCCAGCATGTGCAGGGCGTAGGCCAGCACGAGCAGCAGGATCAGGGACGTGGCCAGGCCCATGAGAACGGCGGGCGAGAAGGAAGGGGCGCAGTCTCGGGCCTTGGCAAACTGCGCACCCTGGATGCCGAAGGCCTGGATCTGTCGGGAGAAGCAAAGAGCTGCAGTGACGGCAACCGCCTTCGCCCCTCGCGTGTGCCGCCCAGCTGGGCTGGCAGCTCTGGCCCAGGAATTCGCCAGGCTCAACCTTCAACTGAGGAACCGGACAGTACTTGAGGAACTGGCCCAGCAACACCAGCGTGTGGGGCTGTCACCAGGAAGGGCTCCTGGGATCCACGGCTCGGTAGCACCAACCTCGACTGCAGACTTGGAAAGAAAACCTCTTTCAACCTGAGCCAGGCGAACGCTCTGGGTCGTGTGAGAACACAGTTACCATGGCGCCTGGACGTCTGCAGGGCGCACCTAAGTCTCACCAAGGCGTCACAGCTCAGCTCCTGCGGGCGGGCGTTTTCCCACGGAGTTAGACAGGAGGGTCTCTGAGGGGAGCACAGTGTGCCACTCAGCCGGATGAAGCGTCATAACCATAAAAGCTAATGCTGCTGGCGGACTTGGCCATACAAGACACCGCCTCCTTTTAGCACCCACGAGAGTGGCTGTGTGGGTCACTATTTTATTCTCCCCTTTTTTTGTGTAGGGAAACTTGGAAAGTTAAGGAACTTGTCAGTTGCACAGTCTAGCTTCAGTCCTGGCCCCAGCCCCGGCTTACACATTCACAGTGTGTCTGCCTCTCCTGGCCCCAGCACTCTCTGTCCTCCATGTGTTCGGCCCTGCAGACCTGGACCAGGCTGGGGAGAGCTGGATCTCAGCCAGCACGCCCAGAGACTAAGAGGGGTTTTCACAAGTGCATGGGGAAATGTGTACTGTGAAAAAAAAAATACCCTATGTATGGATTTAAAAATTGTTTGCACTATCATAAACTTATATTGCAATTCCATTTTCCACAGACTTTCTGAAGACCCCTCATGGGGGAACAAAAATGTCTTCCCAGACATACAAATACAGTGGCCTGATTATTTCCAGGAGAGAGGCTTTGACTGTCAGCGGCTCCGCTCTCTAGATGTTGCTGAGACAGTGGGGACTCTGCGGGCCAGGCTCCCGAAGGTGCCAAGCGTCTCCACCACACACATGGCATCTGCATTCCCTCCAGTACTGCACAAGGGTTCGTCCCCTCACCTTTGCCAACATGTATTTCCTGTTCGCGACTGAGCCGGATGACCCCCAAAGGCAAGCTCCTTCCCCACCCCAAAATCCTCCCCTCCAGACACACAGCACAGCTGACATCCCCACACGGCGGGCCTGCTGCTGGGAGAGAGAGCAGGCCGAGCTTTGCTCACAGGGAAGCAGCAAGCAGGGGCTACACAACATCTCAGCAGAAAGCGGCCTCTCCCCGGAGACTTTCCCAGACAGCATTGTGGTGTGGCACCACCATGCCATAGGGGCACTTGTTTGGGATCCAGCTGTTTCACCCCCAAAGCAATTCCCTGCAGTGGAAGATGGCTCTGGTGCTTGGGCTGGACCCATGTGAGAGCGGTGGAAGTAACTCCTGGCTCCTGATTTCAGTCTGGTCCAGCCCTGGCTGTTGCAGGCATTTATCAACTGAACCAGCAGGTGGAAGATCTCTCTGTTTCTCCCCCTCTCTCCCCTCCTCTCCCTCCCCTTCCTTCTCTCCTTCAGGGAGAAGTGCTGCTCCACTTCGTTCCACTTGTTAGCAAATGAGAACAAACCCCAGTGTTACCCTCAGCATGGCTGCTCCCCTCTTGTCCTTGCCCCAAACTGGCAGGGACAGGCAGCACGCTCCTTACCTGGAAATCAGTGAATGCAACCTCCCACAGGCTGGGCAGGTGCCCGGGGTCTCTGGGCAGCAGCAGCGCATCTGCCCCCTGCAGGCTGCTGACCAGGTGGCAGTGGTACGAGTAGCTCCTAGGGGCGTATACGCCAGTTGCATTGAAGGTTGCACAGACTGAATTGTTGAAAATAATCTGGACTTGGTACAAACTAAACCAACTCTGGACGGGCACTTTGTTGTCACTGGTAAGGACGAATCTGAAAATAATGACAGAACAAAGCTTGCCCCCGAAGCTCTTTTCTCCCGTGTGGTATTGATGGAGGGCTTCAGCCATCGGCAGTGCAACGGCGCCCTCTGCTGGCACGTTTTCCTCTGGTTTCGAATCAGAGGCAGGATCGCCCCAAACAGTAACCTCCACCATGAGCAACACAGACTCCCACACGTGCAAGAACGCAGAAAGGTTAATCGGAAGGGGGGGGGGGCTCAAACCTTCCTTTGAAAAACAACTTCTATTTGTGCTTATTATTGCTTAAAAAAATAAGAAAAATCTTAAAAACAGGCATTGATCTAAACAGTGATTTTAAAACCAGGGCTTGGGCCCAGCGGCGTGGCCTAGTGGCTAAACTCCTCGCCTTGAACGCCCCAGGATCCCATATGGGCGCCGGTTCTAATCCCAGCGGCCCCGCTTCCCATCCAGCTCCCTGTTTGTGGCCTGGGAAAGCAGTTGAGGACGGCCCAAAGCCTTAGGACCCTGCACCCGTGTGGGAGATCCTGGAGGAATTTCCTGGCTTTTGGCTTTGGATTAGCTCAGCTCCGGCCATGGCAGCCACTTGGGGAGTGAATCAATGGACAAAAGATCTTCCTCTCTGTCTCTCCTCCTCTCTATATATCTGCATTTCCAAAAAAAATAAATAAATCTTTTTTAGAAAATGGATACACTGAAACAAATTTATCCTGTAATCTATTTGCCATGGCAGGAGTATCTGGGAGAATACTTTCCATTCCGAACACGCGGAGCGGGAAGACGCCACCATGGAGAGAGGAAAGGCCCGAGAAGGGCACATCACATTGGAAAACCAAAGACAGCATTAACAAAAGCCACTTTCCACTTTGAGAAGTGTGTGTGGACCACAGAGACCGCAAAGTTAGGTTTGGAACCCATTTCTATACTGAACAAATGTGTGTGTGTGTGTGTGCACGTGTGTATGGTTGCATACATGTGCATGAGTGTGTGTGTGTGTGCATGTGTCTGGTTGCCTTCTGAGATTCCAGATCCTTCTGAAGTTTCTCTGCAAGATGAGTGGCACATGGTTCCTAAGTCACTGCCAGTGACACACTGGTGTCTATGGGAACGTGGGCACAGATTGTGAGGAAGAAAGCTGCCTGGGTTAGGCCGAGGTGTGACGTGCCTCAGTCTTCCTTGGGACCTTGTCTTCCCAGATAAGAGGCAGACACGGTGTGGGTGCTCCTAGACTCACAAATGCTCTCCCCAGACAGACGTGTCCGATGGAGCATGCCCACACACTGCCCTGGCACAGCCTGCTGGGGCTGCAGGTCATGGCAGAAACACACATGCTACGGCCACACTGCTGTTCTACAAGAACAAGGAAGGACTGTATTTGGAGGAGAAAACCACTAATACCTTCACTTTGCTCTCCCCGACCTTCCCGGATAAGCCCTGTGGGCACATGAGCCATGCCACATGAAGGTCAGCCAATGTGGACTGTCACTGTACCTAAGGAACAGGCGTGACTTCCTGTAGGGAGCTGTCGAGAGCAACTTCACACTAAAGCCTCGCCAAGCACAGCTGGCTTTCTGTATTCTCCGACTTTAATCTTTGCTCAGAAACAACAGATTTTACATCGCCAGGCCATGCATCCTGTAAGTCCCGACCTGAGAGGCCCAGGGCAGGAAGCAGAAGTGTTCAGGTAGGAACTACCAAGACCTTATTACGAGATTCTGCTCTGTGATGCCTGACAATCAGGTAGGTATGGCATCCGACATACCACAGCACTTGGCACATGGAAAGCTCTTGATACTCATGTGTGAAATGAAGTATCACCCATATGTAGAAATAAACACAGCTCTACCACTCACCTGATGGCAAGGCCGGCGAGACTTTCAGCATCACCCAGCTTCAGAGACAACCTAAGCAAACAGAAGCAACACGGGCACTCAGAATGGGGACGTCTTTGACGTCGCACTGCACTAGAAGTGACTTCACAGCAGACCACAGACTCAGTGCAATGTCCAAAGCCACATTTATACAGAGAATGGAGAACATTTTTTTTTACAATCTTGAGGTAAGCAATGATTTTTTGAGAAACAGAATGCAATCAAGTCAGACACCACAGGACAGACATCTGAGGGTCTAGAGACTGACTCTTAAGCTTTTAATACTTACATTTATTCGCCTTTTCCTAAAAACAAACACAAGATTGCCTGGTGCGGGGAGAGATTGCCACTCACTCAAGGGAGTAACCACATCAACGGCACTCATCGCCCAGCTCTCCCCCTGGTTGAAGTGCTAAGAGCACACGGCATCCCGCACACGCTGGGGTGTGGAACGCAGGTGATGGAGGGGCAGTGTCCCCTGTGACCTCTGGAGAGAAGAACAGGGACGTTTGTTCCCTTCATGTCAGTCTGTGTCACCCAGGAAGGGAAGGACAGACAGCAGCAGAAGAATCCAGTTAGTCACTGGCCACGAAGCAGACACAGAGCTGTAGGTCTCATGTTCGTGGCGGTCCACAGGGCCTCGCTGGGGTAGGGGGAGCGGGACAAATTTCCTTTGGCAGGAACTGGGTATGTTAGTTTGATGGTCAGAACAAGACACTGGAAACACTTTGAAGAAAACACGTTTCTTGAATGGTGACTTATAAATGAGATGGTCACTCATTCCAGGAGAAATTTCCCCGATTCTTTCAAGGAATCAGGAGAGCTCTGTGTCCCAGAAACTGTGTCTGCAGCTCACAAGCTAAGCCTCAGGGCAAGGCTGTCCCTGGGCACCACCCCCTCTGCCCGCACCTGCCCCCGGACGGAGCTGCTCGTGGCTTCCCGTCCTCACCGTGCTCCACTCCAGGAGTCGTGGTCTCCTTGGCGCTTTCTAACAAGCTTGGCTTCCCAGCAAAGATCACGAGGCCCAGGTTCAACACAGTAAACACACCCATCACTCAGCGTGGAGCCGGGCACTGACTTGTTCACAGGGCACAAGAAGAGCAACTTGGCCTGGGACGAGACAAGCTCAGCAAGAAAACTCCATGTACCCTTCCGAGCTCCCTTCTCTCAGCTTTTCCCAATGGTCTCTGAATTCTCCAGGCTGATAGGCCAAGTTCAAAATCAACACAGATGCTAGGATTGGGCACAGGACATGACTCCCGCAGCAAATGCAAGGACCCCCAGGGTGCCTCCCCCTGAAAGCTTGACTCAGTCATCTGAGCGTTGGCCTCACGTGGTTATGTCTTCGCAGGGTCGGCTCTGTGAGCAGCCCCCATCCAGGTTCCTGGGAACCGAGGACCTTCTCACGATCCTCTCTGATCCACCCAACACGAGGCATCAGAGCTGGTGCCTGGAGGCCTCACCTCCTGGGAAGCCTCCTCTACAGCTCCTGTTGTAAAGGCACAAAACTCACAGGTCCGGGAGTCAATTTTCCATCCTTTCTATTCCAGGTCCCTAGGGATCAGCAAGAATTCCAAACCCCAGCAGAAAGCACAGTGCCCTGGTTCTCCCCACCAAGTCTCCAAGCCTCCAGGGGCAGTCAGCTAGGGCAGGCAAGGTGACACCCAAGCAATTAGCCACTCCCTAAGGGCCCTCCAGGGAAGAGGCGGGAGCCCTGAGCTGTGGGCAGGCCTGGGGCCTTGGATAGTTGGGCTCTAACTAAGGATAGGGATATCTACAAAGCGGGGAGGACCCCAGGGCTCTCCCACCAGCCTCCAAATCCCAAACAAGCAGCCCTGTTCTGAACAGTAACATACCTACTCACACTTGTAGCAGGGTTCTGCAGTATATGCTAATATAACCTCCTTTACCACTCCCCATCAAGAATTGTCAAGAAGCAAAGATGAGCAGGGGAAAGGGTTGAGGGGGAGACACGTCCAGCCAAACTAAACTACAAAACTATAAAAATAAACAGAGAAAAAGAGAGAGAGAGCATGCACTACAGTGTATACAAAGCATTCTACTCCAAAAAACCAGGCCAGGACAAACGCAGAGGGCCCTGCGAAAGCATCGATTAACCCAGCAAAGTCGTGTTTGCAGAAAGGGAGTGGGACATGCCAGATTCCCTTGTCTTGAACCAGAGCAAACAGAAGCAAAGATGTTTCGCTTGGATGCCTGAAGAGAAGATAAAGGTCTTGGAAATTGATTTGCCCTTTCAGAGAGAGACCTGTGGTTATTCTGCTTTTCTCAGATCCTTGTAACTACCCTGCAAGGTCCTAAAGGATCCCCTGACATTTGCCCAACCAAAGGGCCGGGTCTCAGGAGCACCCCCGGCGTCCGGCCTGTGTCCTGGCTGAGCCTCTTCCCTCCCAGTCACTAACCACAATGCAATTGTGCGGCATTCACGGCTGTTTCCAGCGGCAGGACCAGCGTGCGTTGACACTATCGGAGAAAGCTGACACCAACCCTGTAGTCACTGTCTGTCTTTGGCAGAAGGGGCTTGGGAACCTTCCATTTCCAAACTCTCATTTTCCAGAGATTGTTGTGACAATCACCTTCAAGGTTAGAAGCAAACTGCCAGGGGGGAAAAGCTGCAGTCTGCCATGTTCGTTCCTTAGTCTTTCCCTATAAACTCTAGAGGCTCCCAGGCACTGCCTCGTTTCCTTCTGCTGAAATGGCAGAATCGGCACTCACATGATTACCAGAACACAGCCAGCCCGGAGCCTCCTCCAAACCAGAGACCCACTTACGTGGCACTTTGCTCGCTGCAGTTAGAGTTACTGGTGTCCACTGTCACCCTCTGGCCAAAGGCGTCACTGGCAAACTCCAGCCAGGTCTGGTTCTTAAACTTCAGCGTGATTCTTCTGGCCCAGAACAGAATGCAGGGAATTCCATCGACGGAGACGTTAACTGGGCTTCTGGGCCCCAAGCTTCTGGCCACATTCCAGTGTTCTCCCCCGAAACGTCCTTCTCTGCTCAGAGTGTCGTTCGGAGCCTAATTCATCAAATAAAGAAGGTTCACAGGGTAAATGTGTGTGCCTGGTACACAAGGCTTCCCGGGAGTAAATGGGGGGTTCTAGGAAAGATGAATGCAAGCACCAGACCTGGACTGAAAACCCCTAAAACACACACTACAAAGACTGACCAATTACTGCCACGTAAACACACATGGGGAAAGAATTAGTTAACAGGAAGCTCAAAGCAAGCACACCTAGGACCGGAGAACAACCGTTCCTGTGATGATCCTGCCTGGAGAGCCGCAACAGTACAACTAAGTATTGTAACAACAGGGAGGAGCCCACGTGCAGCTCGAGTAGCTCCCACACTTTTCGCCGTTAAGATTCCCGTGGACAGTGGACACGTTTCCATCCAAAGTGCAGGCAGCAAATTGTTTCTTATCAACCGACCCACTGCTCACAGCTTCCCAGTGGCTCCCACACGGTTAGAAACGGACTACGCTCTCATGCACTCACACAGCCGTACCTGGGTGACGGGTATTACAGAATTCTGGACGGCTGTCACACTCCCATTAGCCTGTTGACCTGTCAAAGAGTGATGTAAACATCATGATTAAGCGACATCAACGTATTCGTCTAACTGAGCTGTGAGCGACAGCAGGCTTTGGTTGGCTTAGAATTCAGAACCTGCTGGTCCAGCGGATGCTCACAAGGGCCCCTGGTGCCGGCACATTCGTCATCTCTTCCATCCCACCCCTCTCCCAGGAGTCAGAAAGGCAACTGGGCAGCTTACCATTCCTTATAACCGCTTCTTTACTGGGAGATGTTCGAGAACTAAAATCAGAAAAATAAATAAATAAGAATTAAGAGATGTTGGGTAAATATGTACAGTTCAGGCTTTTAGGATTTTACATTTCATTAGTTGAAAGGCATCAGTTCAGTCGGGGCAGACAGAAGCCGGCAGCTGAGAGCTCCGTCTGGGTCTCCAACACGGTCCTCAAGCACTCCTGACATCATACACTGCAGACCCACGCACGTCGGCAGGAAGCAGCCTGGAAGTGCAGCGGCTGGGACTTGAACTGGAACTCTATTACACCGTAACGGCACTGCAACTGGTGGCTTAATCTGTGGGACCAAGGTACCAGCCCCTCTTACCATAACTTTTGAGCACATTCACATATCTCAGAGGAAAGGAACAGAAACGTAGCCGGTTAAAACTGCTCATTTTAAAAGCATGTGCTTATGTATTTGAAAGGCAGAGACACAGACAAGAGGAGCATTCCCATGTGCTGGTTCGCTCCTTAAACACAACAACGATGGCCTACTGAATGAGATGCAAGTCTGGAGCCGGGAATTCACAATGCACGGCTCCTCCATGGGCAGCAGGAACCAAGGGCTGGAGCCTCCCTTGCTGCCTCCCAAAGCGAGCATTAGCAGGAAGCTCGATTGGGAAGTGGAGCTGGGACTCCAGGCTCTCCGACAGGAGATGTGGATCTCCAAGGGCACCAGCTGCTGTGCCATACGTCCACCCCAAAACTGTCCACTTTTTGAATAATGAGTTTGTAATTTAGAAAGTAATGTATGCCTTCTAACAAAATATGAAAAATTTGAAATAAAACAAATTTTAAAATTGCTTTACTTTATTTGAAAGGCAGAGTTACAGAGAGAGACAAAGAGAGATACTTTTCATCCACTGGTTCACTGCTCAAATGGCCACAAAGGCAGGAGCTGGGCTGGTCAAAAGTCAGGAGCCAGCAGCTTCCTCCAGATCTCCCACGCAGGTGCAGGGACCCAGGAAGCTCCTGGCTCCTGGCTTCAGCCTGGCCCAGCTGCAGTTGTTGTAGCCATTTGGGAAAGGAATCAACAAATGAAAGATCTCTTTCTGTGTGTGTCTCTCTCTGTCTCTCCTTCTCTCTATACCTCTCTCAAATAAAAATAAATCTCTTAAAAAAGTATCCTTGTATTAATCAAACTCCTATTCTTATGCCCACAGTGCCAGCCTCAACCACAGCATGCTTGCAGTACCAGCCTTGACCACAGCATACACATGGTGCCAGCCTCAACTGCAGCATGCCCACAGTGCCAACCTCATTTCTCCTCTTCCCCTTCCTCTCTCTCTGATGCAGCTACAAAGCAGTCTGCCGTTCCCTGAGTGCTGCATGAAAGCCTTAGCACACACTGCTCCCACAGTCTGGAATCTTCTCCTTTCTCCCTACATAGCTTCTAGATCACAGCTCCATACCACTTCACCGGCAACGCAGTCCCAAATGCAGATGGCTCACTTCCCACAGATGGGCTCACGGTCCCCTGCTCTTCACTCAGCATGCATTTCAAAGGCCCTTTGCCATAACACAGCATGAACCCCATGAGCACTTCTCCAGGCAGCTCAAACCAAGTGGGCGGGGTCATGGCTCTGCTCCCCCAAGGTGGACCCAAAGACTGAATAGCATGGTACCCAGTGACTGAATAGCACCACAGGCTTTAAAAGGTGTTAAATGCATCAGTGAACTGTCACATTAATGAACAAACTCTGAACTCAATGGAAAATGGACGCTCACACAGGATTTCCTCTTGGAAACCTGAGGTTGGAATGTGGAATGGAAAAACACAGTGACCCCTCCTCCCAAGGTGAGGAAATACACGCCGAACTTCAAACACAGCCATCCTAGAGCCTCAAGAGTCTCAACTAGCACCTGCACCCCCGAGTGGGCAGCTATTTTGTTTCAGATCCGGGATTTGAGAGGACATTCACAAACACCAACGGGTGCTTCCTCTAGCATAAACTAGCATGCCATATCCATGCATTCAAAAGATCCGAGATCTCTGTGATTTCTGACCTGAAGCTTCTAAAGCTACAATGGCTGAAAACTGTTAACTTTTTCTTTAAAAGAGAATTGAGTGTTGTTTTTTTTTTCCTTTAACTCTTGGCATTTGTTTTACCAGTGCTGACGACAAATCCGCCAGTCCTACAGAGGTCGGGTGGAGACACAGCAGTATGTTCTAAACACCTGTGGGATGGAAGTCACTATTTAAAGGGAGCCTGAAGGGATGGCCAGACTGGGAAACTGACAGCAAATAATTACAAGGCCTGTTCCTAGAGCTGTGCCTTCAGGGCTGTGCTGTACAGGTCCTACCCTAATGCCTGCTCACGGCTGCCCTTTGGCCTCACACCGATCCCCTGGGCATTGAGCCGCTGGGAGGCCAGGCAGGAAGTAGCTGTCCAGGAGCCTGAACCTTGCTTTGTGTGGATAAAGCCCTAGATGCACCTTGACCTGCTATGGGGAGAAGTGAGAGGGAAAAAGGAAAACAGAGATGGAAATTCTGCCTGGTCACTTTAAATACCATGCACAGTTACCACCTTCCACCACTGAACGCCTTTCCTTGCGGAGACGGCTTAGCTATTTCTGATGTTTTTAACCTTCTGTTCTACTCTCCTCTGCCATAATGGCAGGAGACTATAAAATCAACATCTGCTTAAATTAACATTTGCTTATAAATACAAAAGCACTCAGGTTTGAGAAGTCAACATCTTGCAGAAACACATTTTGATCCACAATTCAAATGTTTCTGGGGGTGTTTTACTGATGGAGGTTATGTTTCCTTTTGGTCCGGTTCCTGCAGTAGCTAACAGCACTCTAATTCGGCCTACACATCTTAATCACAAAGATGTGAAGCCACACGAAGCACCCAGAGGCTCGCGAACCTGCCCTGAAGTTCACCAAGGTTACGCCTGATTCAAGATGCGCTGCTACTCACCCCGCATTCTTCCTGGCCAGCAGCTGCTCCAGAGTCAGCGAGAGCCCCATGCATAAGGAAGCCAGTGAAAAGCAAAACAAGATTTTTCTTCCCATCAAGAAATGGATCAGTTTGTTCAAACCAAGCACATCTGTGAACACAAATGCAAGCAGAGCGGAGGCGTGCTTTTGGCTGCCATGTGACTGATGGCACATTCAACCAATCAAAGGAAAGGTTGGTGGCCAAGGGGAGGGACCTGACACTGTTTAATTTAAAGCACAGAGTGAAACAAATACAGTATTCAAGTTTTTAATTATTCATCTCGATGAAAGATTACTAGGGAACAGATTTATAGAAACGATGCATTTGCCAGCTCAGCTTTTTCTTTTTTTTAAGAAGTCTGCATTGTTTTGTTCCTCTCAAACAACTCTTTAATGATAAGATTCTTGTGGTACTTTTTGGAAGCTACTAAATTCTGCCTTAAATCAGTGGGTGTCGATTCTTACATGCATGTTCCAGACAGACACGTGAGGCAGGCTCTCAGGAGCCACCTGCACACGGACACACATGCATTGATGCACCATCCCTGCGAGGTCCTTGGCTGGCTGTCTGCAAGTGCATGCAGTGGGGACAGACAGCACTGGGGGCATGCCCCTCACCCTGCCAGTCTGGAAACCAGGACCAACTGTACCTCCTAGGCCTATCCCCACACTGCACGCAGAGAGGGACAGACGTGCTGGAAGAGCCATGGTGCACATGCCTTTTCTGACTTGGGTGCTCAGCTAGACAGGCAGCACCCCCTTTCTCCCCTTCCCCTCAGCCTCTCCACCCACTGCAGCCCCTAAGGAACCTGCACAAACAATACAAGCAAGTCCCCGAGCTGTTGTACATCTGAAAGACGGCCATCAGGATGCCACAGGGAAGAAAACCCTCCGAGGATGAAATTGGCAAGGTTGCTGGCATTCCAGAGCCTTGCTCTCTTTAAGGGCACAGAAGGAGAGGACTGTTCCACGGAGAAGGTGGGGTACAGGGAGGCTGGGGGTCCGGCTCAGAGGGGACCACTCGCTGCCTCACGGTCTCACTCGCACACACACCACCTCCTCAGCAATGTTCTAGGGACCACTACAGAAAATGCAATGACCAGAGGATGCAGGAATCAGGAAGAAAATGCAACTATTACAAAATAAAGAACCTACTAGTCCTAAGTGTGGTCTTGTTGCGCCTCATCATCTTCCTACCTCCCTTCTGCTTCCTTCTTCTTTGCAAACCTGCACTCCTCCATCACCCCGTGCATTTTTCTTTCTGTCCTTTCTGCCTGGAGATTGTAGAATTTCGAGTAACAAGGCAGATACAGACAAGATAAGTGGGGCTGCCAAACCCTAGAATCTCCAGTTAAGTTCTAAAATTCATGAAAGCCACATTTCATATTAATATGCCCTATGCATTAACTGCAATATACTGTATTTTTTGGAAAGCATTCACTATTTATTTGAAAACCCAATTTAACTGGGCTCCTGTTTTTATTTGCAAAGTCTAGCCATCCCAGTCTTAGGCACTCCACTGATCCAACTGGAGTTTGCGAATGAGCTACACAGGACGTTCTGAAAGCGCTCACTCAGCAGGCCTGGGATGTGTGAGGGACTCTGCTTCCAACCCGCCCCAGATGCCCCGATGCTGCTCACCCAAGGACACGTGCGGAGCAGCACGCCTCACTGCACCATCAGGAGAGCCCCATCTGGCACGGACAACTGTCCACCAGCCACAGAAGGCAACTGGGAATTTAGGACGACAAGAAAGACTGATGTAAATAATGCTTTTATTTAACCTACAATACTTTCACTTCAAACACAGCAACTTTAAGAACTATTGACAATCAGTTCTCAGCCTTTCAGCTAAGATCAAGTGTTAGAACTATGAATGCAACAGCCTCTGCTCCTTTCCTTTCCAAGTCTGAAATCGGGTGTATAATTCACACTTAGAACACTTCTCAGTGGAGACTAGCTGCACTCCAAGTGTCCAGCAGCCATGTGGGCAGGGCCACCACACCGGACAGGACAAACCCACAACGGCTCCTCCAGCTGCTGGACCTAGGGTCCTGTGGAGGCAGCAGTGGTGCCTGCACTCGGGCCCAGGGCAGGAGGACGAGCCAAGCCCAGTGGGAGACCGCAATGGGATGAGTCCGAACACTGAGACACCAGTGTTAGATGATGGAAGGATCTTCCACAGAAACACACGTGGGTTATCAAAAACACACAATTTCTTCATTTTAAGTGAAGCATCATTTTAATATCTGTTATGTTTCGATGACCCTTGAATTTTCACACAGCACTGTTTATGTCATTGGAATGCTTTCCACGCTCGGTTGAGAATATTCGAGGCATGAGGTGAGTGTGTGTCTCAGCAGCTAAGACACAGTCCCACACCGGAGTACCCGGGTTATTCCCTGTTCCAGCTTTTGGCTAATGCAGGCCCAGGAGACAGCAGCAGTGGTGAGATAGTCAGGGCCCTGCCACTCATGGGAGAGACCTGGCTTGAGTTCCCAGGTCTCAGGCTGAGCCCCCATTATGCTGGCCACCACAAGCATTTGGGGAGTGAACAAGGGGAAAGAGGCACTCTCTTTCTCGCTCTAAAAAATGAATTTTAATTGGAAGAAAAGAATATACAGCATGAAATAATTAGTAGCTAGTAGGTTTCACACATGTATTTTAGAAACCACACTTCAGGTGTGACTGGCTGAGAATAACCCATATGTGACTCTGGGGAAAAGCAGTGACGGTAAGTGCTAACGAGTGTCTTCCTGAAGCTGCAAGACGCCAGAGGCCTCCTCAGTGGCTTGGCACTCAACCTGCCTGCTCACACCACTAAGGAGCTCTCTCAGGGACCACCCTGGAGCTGAGACACCACCCACTCACCATCTTCCACCTGCCGGCTTTATAGATGCTGGGTGAAGACGCGGGACTTCTGGGTCCAAGACAAGGGGCTTTATTCCTCACCTCCCAGCCAGCAGTGTGCACTGTGGGCAGTTCTCCTTGTCCATGGAAGAGAAACCCTAACACATGCTCGCTTACCTAAGGAGTTGTGCATTTTTTATTTTTATTTAAAAAGAAGAAAGAAGGAAATACAGAGGTAGATGGAGAGACATCTTCTATCCACTGGTTTGCTCTTCCAAACACCTGTAACAGCCAGAGCAGGGCCCAGCCAAAACCTGCAACCCAGAATTCCACCTGGGTCTCCTACATGGGTGGCTGAGCCATCACTGCGGCCTGCCAAGGTGCACATTAGCAGGAAGCCAGGCTCAGAAGTGGAGCAGAACTCACCCCAGGTACTGTGCTATGGAACGTAAGGGTCCCACGTGGTGTCTCTACACCACGGGGTCTCATCTCAGGAGCAAGCCATCCAATGTTGAGCAAGCCTACTTGCCCTGAACTCTGAAGGGCAACACCAACTTCCAAGGTGGTCAGCACACCCAGCCTCTGTGACAGACAGCTTCTACCTTCCGTGGTTGCTTGTGCACAAGCATAGTGGAAAACGACCCCAGCGGAAGAGTGACTCACTCCACACGCCAAGGGTGGATGGCTCACACCTGAAGGGGCCTCGGGTGCGCTGCTTTGTGCTGATGTGTCGTGTTCTGCTGAACGCACTGTCACCTGATAATCTGAATATTCAAACTCCATCTCCCGTAATTATAGATCACCCAGAGAATTCTGTTCCCACAGAGGAATCTGGAAGTGGATTGAACTCCGGAATTCTAACAATAGCTTAGGAAGCATCCAGCAAGCATGCAGAATTGATTCACTTAATGCTCTCAGGCCAAAAGCTGCATGTGTCAAGTGTTTGAATCAATTATGATGGTCTTTGCATAGTGACTCCAAATCCAATGCCATCTGCCTTCCGCTAAGCCCTGCCTGGCACGGCCCCTGCTGGCCTCTCTCCATTAATTCCAGGCCAGCTCCTCCGGCCCACATTCCAGGGACACCAACGTGCCCTGGGCCCCTAGGTGCCTTTGCCCTTAGCTCGGTAGGGATCACCTCGCCTCACCAGCTCCCCCTGCAGTCCCCTCACGCAATCTGCAATGAGATCTGCATTTTTCCTGTTCCCTTACCCAAGCTGCTTAAGGTGTAGGGAGGGCAGGCACTGTGTCTAATCAACTCACCTCCATCTACCGCCCACGCACCCATACAGGACTAAACCAAACCCCCAAAACACCATCCACTCTCACTTCACGTCACACGGTTCCAACACCCAGGGTCTTGATACAACTCTAACTGGAAAAGCAAAATTCAAGCATTCCAAAGAAATTAGTTGCTTGAAAAAGGAAATGCAGGACCTGACACGGTAGCCTAGCAGCTAAAGTTCTTGCCTAGCATACGCCAGCATCCCATGTGGATGCAGGTTCTAATCCCAGCAGCCCCACTTCCCATCCAGCTCCCTGCTTGTGGCTGCTGGGAAAGCAGTCGAGGATGGCCCAAAGCCTTGGGACCCTGCACCTGCCTGGGAGATTCAGAAGAGGCTCTTGGAACCTGGTTTTGGATCAGCTCAGCTCCAGCTGTTGAGGTCATCTGGGATGTGAATTATTGGACGGAAGGCCTTCCTCTCTGTCTCTCCTCTCCATGATCTAGCAAAGCACTCGAGCACACACTCCGTGTGAGAGCGGTCTGTGTACCTCCTCAGGTGTGCCTGCTGCTGTGAGTCCCACCGATTTTCATCAAATCAACTCTGAGAAAATCAAATGATTACAAGTGCTTCTAATGCAAATGTGAACATTTGCCACCCTGGGCTTCTGGTGAGCTCTGCAACATGAACAGCAGCGTGGTCGCTCCGAGCACTCTGTGGCTGCGGACAAGCTGAGTTAGGAGGACCAGTCCCTCGTAGCCTTGTTCTGGATTGTACTGTGCTGGACTGTTCGCCTGGCATACAAGCAAAAACAAGCAAAATTCCCAGCACTGGCCTCTGCAGGAGCTCTAGGCCCAGTGATGGACAGAAAAATGAACAAGCTGCTGTGGTTATCATCCTCCTAGAGGCTGTCCCTGCCTCCACACCAGGCAATGACTGATTAAATAAGAGGGACAGAAAGGCAGGCGGATACAGGACAGAGACAGAGAGCCTGAACCGGCCTTGGAGCGCCTTAAGCAGAAGGATTTACAAAATGACCCTCCCCAGGGCAATGGGGAGAAGTTTGAGGCTGGGGAGTCAGGGTGTGGGCAGACCCAGCCACCCCAAGAGCTAGCCACCTCCACTTCACAAACGCTTTCACCTCAATGCCAACAGGACTCACGGTGGGGAGACATGTCCTGTGCTGCTCCCCAGACCAGAGACTCCTCCCCCAAAGCCCAGTCTCCTGATAACCGAGCCACTGTTACACATGGATCATGTGGACAGAAAACACCCAGCACATTCACCTCATCCGCATCGTATATGACTCAGTAATGAATCCAGGGTGTTATTTTTTTCTAGGTAATTAACATAAATTTGGAAATTTTAACTTGAAAGCCAACTAAGTAAATTTAAATATTCATGTGCACATGAGCATGCCATTCCCCAGGCTGCAACATGACCACACGCACACGCTGCTCTCGGAACTCTCACCGTGGGCAGTGACTGCCAGAGCCAACCGGACCAAGAGACCAGGGGGCCGTGGGAGGACACCACCACTGTCCTTTCCTTCCTGCCTCTATTTTCATCCTTCACCATCTTAATCTTTGTGTTTTCAATTTAAGAACATTTTGTTTTACATTAAATCCCTTTAAGCAGCAAAATCTTTATACGACGGCCAAAAGTTTGTAAGTGCTTTCTTTTGAAAGGGATTCTTATATTCACATTACAATCCCTTGCACATTATTACGTTTAAATAATCTAGAAATGACCCTGGCAGATATGCTGCTGCAGGGAGCAAGGGCCGGGGGTCACTCCCCACTCCACCTCACCGAGTTCAGCTGCCCCGTGCCCCAACTCAGACCACTTGGGTCTGTGACCATCTCCCCACGCTTGAGCCTCTCTGCGCAAGGCCACTGACGCCTAGTGTTTCCTTGTAGTGAGGACGATCGTCTTGCTGTTCCCAGGGAAGAGGCGCCTGCTGAAGCAGAAGCCTCGTTCCCTTTGCTGGGCTCTCAGCCACGCCAAGAACAGCTGAGACACACATGAACCTGCGGCCCCCTCAGCCATCTCACCAGGGCCATTACAGAGCAGCTTCCTCAGTTCCCCTAGAGCCTACACACAGGCTTAATTACAACAATAGGGTTTTTAACACCAGGCCTGATATAAGGTCAGACAGCAACAAGCACTTATTTCTTTAGTTCTGCCTTGGAATAAATGTCAGTAGAAACAGTCACTGCGCCAAGCTGTAGGCAGGAGGACAAGACAGGAGGTCCCATTCACTCTGGATAAAGGAAAAATGGTGCTTAACAATGCACTAGGTAAGGGAAGAGCACTCCACCCACACTGCGGGAGAGCAGGGCAGCGCCACTCTCTCACGGCAGCTCCATTCTCACATTAAGCTGTTATTTTAACTTGTCACATTTCCATAGCAACCACTGCCACGGGTTTTTACAGCTGAATCACCAGGAATCATTTCTAACTCATAAAACAGTCAGGTATTAAACATCTACACTGTGAAATTGTTGGCTCTTTTCCCCCAAAAGCTAACTTCTCCCCAGCCCAGGGGGCAAAGACCAGCACTGCTCTTGACCCGTTATCTACCACCTACCTAACTGTGAAGATAGAACGTTCTTATTTGCAGGAAGAGGTTGCCTGTGCAGAAACAAAATAAAAATGGCCCTCCCCCCGACCTGGTGCTAACTCAACTGGCAAGCAGAGAGGCAAGCAGAGAAACACGCACCACCTGTACCCTTGGAACGGCCAGGATGGATGACAGCTCAGCACCGGAGCCAAAGGGACAGAAGCTGAGAACCCAGCAACGGGGTCCCATCACAGCAGCCGTGAGCTCACCGAGGGGAAGACACGGGAGAAAACTGGGGCTCCAGAGGCACGTGGGCCCACCAAAAAGATCTCATCCAATCACAGCCCTCGCTTCCCTGCACTTAGTGTCACTACCACCCTGAACACAGGCGCAGAGGGCTGACTGTGGCCCTGGCCTGGTTAGTGCACACACAACATCACACCAGCATCAGCAGAAAACATTCTTCCCAAGAACACACAGGAAATGCAAACAGAGAGGCCAACTACAGGTGCATCAAGCAAACATCAACAAATTTTTTTGAACTGCCAGCAAAAGGTGTGTTCTTGGACCGTAACAAAATCGCACTAGTGATCAATAACAGATTTCAGGAAAATTCCCAATATCTGAAAATTAAGTAGCACACTTCTCAATGGTTCATGATCAAAGAAGTCAAAAACAAGAACTAGGAAACAGCATGCATGACAACACCACACATCACAACTCCCTGCGTGCAGCTCAGGCGGCACCGCAAGGGAGGTTTATGATCAGGGACACTAGGAGAGGTGAAGGCCTTAGACCAAGGACCTCAGAGGATCCGTCTCATCTCATTCACTCAGCATTCATTCTAAATGCAGATGCTATTCAACTAATGAAGAAGCCGTGTGTCCACAAATTCATCTTAAGCTGAGAATGCATGGCATACACCAGACACGCCAAACCTCCTAGCCTGGCAGCACAGCACACTACCGATGGCACGGGGCTCACAGCACCAGGCCCACTGCCGCTCCCCAGCAGGGCGAGCACCTCCTGCACCTCATACTGCTGACGGGGAAAGATCACGGGTCACAGTGTGGGAGCGCAGTCTCTAAGGACTCCCCTCTGCTTCTGCACCATCACAGGCTGGGCCCATCACTCAGCCTCTGGGTAAAACGAGGGGAGTGCAATTTCCATTTCCCTCCTCCTTCCCAGTTCCTCTGTAAGGTCAACCTCAAGGTCACTAGGTACCTCCTGGTGACCGCCTCCCTGGAGGACAGCTACATACAGCACTCACCCCCTCCCAACCTCTACAACTGGAATGGCCCGCACAGACACACCACAGGGACCACCTCTTGGTGACTGTGTGACCCCACAAAACTCAGGCTACTTGCTTGAATTCCACCCATGAATTGCTATGGAAAACCTGTTTGGGTTACATACACCCTGCACCCCAACAACGGCTTTAGTCCTACGGATCTTCTGGTCTCCTATCCCACACCTATAGGGTTAAGCTGTTCCAGAAAGCTCCCTTCTCTTCTATCAGCCCTGTGAGGCTCCGGCTGAGAAAGCAGCAGAGAATTGCCCAAAACCTTGGGCCCCTGCACCCGCATGGGAGACCTGGAAGAGACCCCGGCTCCTGGCTTCAGATCAGCTCAGCTCTGGCTGTTGTGGACATTTGGGACGTGAATCAGCAGATGGGAGATCTCTGTCTCTCCCTCTCTGTAACTCTTTCAAATAAAAATAAATAAATCTTTAATATACATGTTTTCATGCAAAATGGAATTAAAAGTTAATTTTTGGTGCAAAACAATGAAGTCATCATAAAGCCTGTGGGAGTGCATATTACGAGAAAACATTCGTATCTCAAAAAATTTTGAGCCAAAATAAGGTTAACTTTTTAAAAAGATTTATCTTAACTTATTAAAAAGATTTATCCCGTATGGAATCCCGGTGAGTTCAAGGAGAGGACTTTAGCCTCTAGGCCACGCCACCGGGCCCAGCTATTTTTTTTTTAAAAGATTTATTTATTTGGCCCAGCGGCATGGCCTAGCGGCTAAAGTCCTCGCCTTGAATGCGCCGGGATGCCAGTTCTAATCCCAGCAGCCCCACTTCCCATCCAGCTCCCTGCTTGTGGCCTGGGAAAGCAGTCGAGGCAGCCCAAAGCCTTGGGACCCTGCACTCGTGTGGGAGACCCGGAAGAAGTTCCTGCATCCTGGCTTCGGATCGGCCGTTGCGCTCACTTGGGGAATGAATCAATGGACGGAAGATCTTCCTCTCTGTCTCTCCTCCTCTCTGTATATCTGACTTCAGCCTCTTCTGCCAGCTTCCATCCCTCACCACAGCCTGGTCTGATTGGTTTGCCCTGGGCTGAGCTCAAACATTCCCCCCGGCGGACATGCCTTCCGCAACCACCCTCTCCACAGCGGCCCTGAGATGCCAGCCTATTGCTGAGAAGAGGCAGGTGTTCGCCCCAGGTCTGGGTCGGCGGCTGTTGGGGTGTCTGGTGCGGCTGTTGGGGTGCCTGGTGCAGGCTAACAGGCGTCTGGGGAGTTAGGGCGCTCGGTCTCTGCCCTAAATAAATACCTTTACCTGCAAGTACTGAGTACATACTCAGTCCCTACTTCACCTCTAAAACCTTCATTCTTCACTGCCTAGGCCAGGACACCGGCGGTGCAAACATTTCCTCAGATACCTGACTTTCCAATGCAGATAAGTAAACCTTTAAAATATACAGATAGAGATATCTGCTGAAATGAACCCACAGCTCAGAACTCCTGCGACTTCCTTTTCTACGGGACAATGTCAACTGTGAACAAATCGGTTGCCCGAGGTGGCGGAGGCCGGAAGCCGCGTCTGGGAGGTGCTAAGCGCGGTCTGAGTCCACGCTAACATCTTTTCACTACCACCTTGTTCCTGAGACGCTCAGGGCCTGGAAAGGCGCCATGGCAGCGCACGGGGCCCACGTCGACCCGCACTCCCACACGCGAGACGCGACGCTCTCCTCAGCGCACACGCGACGCCCGCCCGCGTCGTGGCCTGCGCGCCTGCGCCGCGCGCGTCTCGCGCAAGGGGCTCTGGGATTCGTAGTCCCTGGGCGTTCCTTAGCGGACTCGGGCCCGGCGCTGCGCGGGGCAGCCGCAGAGGTCCTCGGCTGGGCGGAGCCTGCGCGCGGTGCCTTTTGGGTACCCGGCGCTGCGTCGCTCTCTTTGGCTCAGGCCCACGCGTCGGCAAGATGGGTGAGCGGAGCTGGGGAGGATCGGGGGGTCGGGGCGCGGCGTGGGGACCCCGGGCAGGGCCCCGCGGGCGGCAGGGGAGCCCGGCGTGCGGCGGGGGCTCGGGGCCGCCCCGGCAGGCGGGACGCGGAAGGCCGGGGACGGGCACGTGGGCCGGGGTGGCCGTCCTGGGGCCCGGGCCTTGGGGCGCGCTCCTACGCGGGCTCGGGGGGCCCGGAGGCCCGGAGGCCCGGAGTCGGGAGCCGCGTGGGTCTGACCGAGTCTCCCACTGGACGCCGGTCCCTCAGGCAAGTGCCGCGGCCTCCGCACGGCCAGGAAGCTCCGCAGCCACCGGCGCGACCAGAAGTGGCACGACAAGCAGTACAAGAAGGCGCACCTGGGCACGGCGCTCAAGGCCAACCCGTTCGGGGGCGCGTCCCACGCCAAGGGCATCGTGCTGGAGAAAGTGTGAGTGCTGCGGGAGGCAGGTGGCACCTGCCGGCAGACGAGGACCGGGGCGGGAGGCAGGGCTGCCAGGCGCTCTGGGGGGCACCAGGAAGCGCCCCTTTTCCCACAGCCGGGCTCACCCCGACGTGCCGCTCTGCGTTCCAGGGGCGTCGAGGCCAAGCAACCCAACTCGGCCATCAGGAAGTGCGTCCGGGTGCAGCTGATCAAGAACGGCAAGAAGATCACGGCCTTCGTGCCCAACGACGGCTGCCTCAACTTCATCGAGGTGAGGGCCGGCGAGGCTCGGCAGGCTGGGCCTCGGGGTTGGGTCAGCAGCGGGCTGCCGTCCCCGCTGACCAGGAATCTGCTCTGATTACAGGAAAACGATGAAGTGCTGGTGGCTGGATTTGGGCGGAAGGGCCACGCCGTCGGTGACATTCCCGGAGTCCGCTTTAAGGTGGTCAAAGTAGCGAACGTGTCCCTCCTGGCCTTATACAAAGGCAAGAAAGAGAGACCAAGATCGTAAATGTCGGTGTCAGAAGTCTAGTAATAAATTTTTCATGTTCAGTTGTTTTCTGTCTTGTTCATTCTCGCCTCAGTGTTGCGTCTGTGTGAGACGTGAAGGCATTCCTGGGTGCCTGGGTGGGGGTTCGGGCTGCCCTTGCAAAGGCACGTTCTCAGCCCTGACTTGGCCCAGCGTGAACAGCATTGCAGCTTCCTCCCCTCTCTGCTGCTCCTGGGTGTCGGGACCGTATTGTACGGTGCTGTTGGAAACAGTGGGCTGATGGAAGGCCGTGCCAGACGAGACTGACTTTGGGCAGGTCAGTTACTTGTAGAGATGGTGTGGGGTCTGTTGGGATTCAGGTTCATAGGGCAAGTCTGCACGTGGTGTGGCTAAGGCGCTTTCAGCTGGTGACCAGAGACAAGGGTTCTTTGCTAACCTGACTGACCTCTCGGGATTCAGGAGAGACTCCAGGGCCCTGCCTTAATGACAAGAATCCAACATGTGCAGGCCACACTGGAAGTCCAGGACCTGGTGCGGAGGACAGGTCTGTCCTGGTGGGAGCCACATTGCTGGGTGGCCATTCACTCAGCTCGCCCAAGTCCAGTGGCTGAGTGGATCCCTCTTTGCACGTAAGTTCCTGGTGTCACACAGGCTGGGCTCTGCTGCACAGGAGGCAGTCGCCTTGAACCTGCAGTCTGTTCACTGTAGGAGGAGTGGGTGAGAATAATGGAGGGTGAAAGAGGAGGAAATATGAAGTGGTTTAAGTCAAGTAGGAGAAAATCTGAATTACCAGGTGTTCGTCCTAGCAGCTGAAGTCCTTGCTTTGAATGTGCTGAGATCCCATATGGGCACAGGTTCTAATCTAGATAACCCCGCTTCCCATCCAGCTCCCTGCTTGTGGTCTGGGAAAGCAGTCAAGGACGGCCCAAAGCCTTGGGACCCTGAACCTGTGTGGGAGACCTGGAGGAAGTTCCTGGCTCCTGGCTTCGAATCAGTTCAGCTCCAGCCATTGCAACAGATTGGGGAGTGAATTGGCAGATGGAAGATCCTTTTCTATGTTTATATGACTTTCCAATTAGAAAAAAATCTTTAAAAAGAAAGTGGTACAGAGAAAGGGAGAGCTTCATTGCTAGTTCACTCCGCAAATGGCCAGTCATGGCCAGCCTGAAGTCAAGGGCTTCCAGGTCTCCCATATGGGTGTGGGGATCAAGTAATTTGACCATCTTGATAATCCCTTCCCAAGAAAGGATCTGAAGTGGAGCACCCACATGGAATGTTGGCACTGTAGGCAGTGGCCTTGCCACACTTTAGCACTAGAACCCCAATTGATTGTTTTCCAAACAGAAGCCAGTGAAAGGATAATTTTTTTTATAAACGATAGTGTTCCTTTTGCAAAGCAAAAAGGTAAAGCTGTAGCTTAGGTTTGGGTAGATATCTTAGAGGTAATATCAAAAGTGCTTTGCATTAAAAGAAAAATGGATAAATGAACTGGCTCAACAGGCTAATCCTCCACCTGCAAGCATTGAGTCCCACATAGGCACTAGTTCATGTCCTGGCTGCTCCGCTCCCTGCTTGTGGCCTGGGAAAGCAGTGCAGGATTCCCCAAAGCCTTGGGACACTGCACCGACATAGGAGACTTGGAAGAAGTTTCTGACTTCCCAGCTTCGGATCAGCTCAGCTCTGACCGTTGTCTCCATCTGGGGAATGAACTAACGGAACGTCTAGCCTCTGTGCCCTTCCAGAAATGTGAGGAGGCAAAAGATAGAAGTACAAACCATGGATAAAATATTTGCGAATCACAAAGCCAACAAGGTGCTTGTATCCAAATGTATAAAGGACTAAACTCACAGTGATTGTGTTACTAAGTGGGTAAACAGGTGAGAGCCTCTGGTGCTCTTCCTGCATCCCACCCCATCACAGAGTGCCTGGATTCAGTCCCCCGCCCCCTGCCACCTGCAGAGAAGACAGCCTGGTACAGCTGCTTTAGGCACACTATGGAGTGAACAGTGCATGCAAGATTGAAATAAGTAAGTGAGAAGTTTAATTCTTATGAAGGGAAAGATCACGTCGTTAGATTAACCACAATGAGATCACTACACACTGGCAGATTGGCCTCACACTGCTGGAGGGAAGATGCTCCGCTCAGCCAAATGTGTCAGCTTCCTACAATGTTAAACAGGTGCTTAGAAACATTAATTGTGGGTGCTGGCATTATCCAATGGGTTAAGCTGATGCCTTTGATGTTGGTATCCCAAGGGTGCTGGTTATTGTCTGGGTTGCTCCGCTTTGACCCAATGCCTGGGAAAGCAGCGGAGGATGACTCAAGGGCTTGGGCCCCTGTCACCCATGTGACAGGCAGAGCCGGAAGAAGCCGCTGGCTCCTGGCATCAGCAGCACTCAGCCATTTAGGGAGCGAACAGCAGATGAAGATCTCTCCCTCTTTCTGTAATGCCTCTCAAGCACACACACAACTGGATAGCAAGTACCCCAATGAACATAAATGCCCTTATAAATCCTATACCAGGAAACAGATTGTGTTACACCCACAAGGTTACTTAACCACAACAAAAACAAACTGCGCTGGCATCCTGCACAGCATGCTAAGCCTCTTCCATAGGGATGCCAGTTTGAGTACTGTTCATTTCCGATCCAGCTCCCTGCTAAGGGCCTGGGGGAGCAGAAGAGGATGGCCCAAGTGCTTGGGTCAGAAGAGACTGTGAGCTCCGGTCATGGCAGCCATTTGGGGAGTGAACCAGCAGGTGGACAAGCTCTGTCTCTCCTACTCCGTAACTTAAAATTTCAAACAAAAAGAAAATACACAAAATGCCACCAAATGCATGCAACAATTTATATAAAGCAGTTACACTGTGTACAATTTCACTTAAACAATTCCTTTGGGGGAGGTTGGGGACCTTATTGCCTTCTCCGCGCCTGAGCAACTAAGTCTTAACCCACATTCCTGCTCACGCACAGACGTCAAAAGCATGGCTAGAGCATAAGCTAGACATGTTAGGGAAGGGATGGGGTGACTCGAGAGATTTGGGGCTTGGAGGGGGAAAGGGAAGACTCACCAATGTTTTCCACATGGGGTGGTCTCCTCTGTCCTCACGTTAGCTTAAGAACTCAATGCTTGATCACTTGGCCTCTTGGAATCCACCCAGTTCCTCTCCTCTTGGCTTTTGCCTCAGCACTTAAACATTTGTATTTGAGAAGCAGAGAGGAGAGAGATCCTCCCTTCACTGGTCTGCTCCCCAGATGCCCACGTCTGCCAGGGAGGGCCAGATGAAAGCCAGGAGGCAGGAACTCCACCCAGGAGTCCCACGTGTCCCACGTGGCGACAGGAGCCCACACACTTGGGCCAGCCTCTGTGGTTCCCCAGGCACATCAGCAAGGAGCTGGATCAGAAGCTGTGCAGCCAGGACCTGAACTGGTTCCCCAGCATGGGATCCGAAGCAGAATTTAACCTGCTGTGGCCCAGTGTCAGCCCCATCTCACCCGTCCAACCCATCACAGAAGCCCCAGAAACAACTCCATGGACTCACGTTTAGCTGTTATAAAGTACCGAGGGAGTGTCCTGGATGCTCAGCACAGCTTCCCGTGGGGCCCTCCAGTGCTCTGGCCTTCGATGCTTAGCAAATCCCTCTCTGTCCTTTAAGTCCCACTTCTTTTGGGGGTTTCTCCTGAGCTCGAGTTGATCACTCACAAATTCAGACATTCCATGAAGATGAACTGAATGTTACCAATTACTAGAAACCCCCAGAGCCCGCAGTTCTGGCGTGCACTGTGCGCGGTCATGCTCAGAGGCTGTACCTGTGAGCAATAGTGACAAGCTTTGTCCTTGTAGCTCCTAGTCCTTATTCACAGCGACTTTGGGGCACTCGGAAAGCTCCAGGCGACAAGGCAGCGTGGCCCTGCTGCAGGACTTATTCTTACATAGTTCATAGAGCTGGAGCCTAAGGGTTTTCAGTGTGTTCCTCACCAAGTGCAAAACCGGACCAGGGTCTCGGAAGCGGCTTTCCGTTCTCAAGGTCTAGAATATGCGATGCCTGCAACAGGACACTAGATGTCGCTACTGACAGCACAAAAGTTAAAGCCCGGCCGGGCGCCGCAGGCCTGCTATCCAGAACGCTGCCCAGCTGAAGGCCAATGTGAATAACGCCCTGGAGAGGCCCTGTGCTCCCAGGCGCGGCTTTGGGGGCACCATGGCGCCCATGGAACCAGCCCAGCACCCTGGGTACAGGAACCTCTTAGAAAAGCCCGCAGCAGCCGACTGACTAGCGTTATCAAGCAGGAACCCCAGTCTCTTGAGTTGGAAGAACGCTTATGTTGCCTCATGTTTTATGATTTCTGGCTTTCCCTGGAGATAGGATGCAATGTATTTCTCCACCCAGCAAAGCACACGGACACGCAGATACCATAAGTAAACATATACACATATGCATACATATACTGTCATGCATTGCACAATGGCATTCCTGCCCATGATGGGGGATGCCACACACTCTGGGTGTCTGGTAGTCCCTGCCATCCAGGCGCTTCTACACGTTCCTGGTGATGGAAACAGAACTGCCCAGCCGCTCCTTTCCCAGCACATGCTCCCATCGTCCAGTGCGCATGACTAACTGAAGCCAAAGTCCTGCAACAGAATCTCGCTGCGTGACTGTGTGCAATGCAACCGGATGATTTCTTTTTGGTGAATTCATTTAAATACACACACACACTGGTCACCATGCCATAATTTGACTGGCGTGAATGCATCAGAAAGCAGAGCCCAGAGAGGTGCGGTGAGCTGCCGTAGGTGACACAGCGAGGATTCTGCCAGGTGTTTTGGGAGGGGAAACAGCAGTCGGTAAAAGCTCCGGTCTCCCTGCACACTGCCAGCCCTGCAGAGCCGCCTCTGGGTCCTGAGCTGCCCTGCTGAGCCGCCTCTCGGTCCTGCAGCTGGCACCTTGCAGTGAACAGACGACAAAAGCCAAGAAGGATGAGCTGCATTTCTGAAATGCCACTTCTTTCTGCATCATTCTCACCTCTCTCCTTGAGTCCTTGCAGTAGCTCTTCGGGGGTTTGGGGAGGACTACAGGTTGCCAGTGGGGCCACAGAGGCTGATCCCATAGTGCTGGCCCCACGCTGCCCAGAGCTCCATCCGAGCCTCCATGAGGATGGCAGGGAGCTGGGGAGGTGAGCCCCACAGCCTCGCAGGGCGCACACTCACAGAAATGGGACTGGGTGAAGCAGAGACACCTGGATTTGAACCAGGCCCTCTGATCTGGATGTGCGCTTTCCTAGTGCCGTCATGGTACCCAATATCTGCCCCTGAAAATGAAAACATGTCATTAATCAAAAACTAAGGCTTTTTTTAACGTGAAAAAAAGAAATTCTCACAGAACTGGGAGATGCCGAGGAGATGGATCTCTGTGTGTTGGAGGCAAAATGGGTGGGACCCTCATGTCTTCTGCCACTGATGAATGCTTTACGAGTTCACTGTGCAAAGAAAAATTTAACTTTTTAAATAAATTGAGCATCGGCCCAGATTGGTGGGCTACCATCTCAGCACCCACTGGCGCCGGAGAACTGTGTTTCCACACCAGCACATCCTTTGCTGCTGTGCCCAGGGACAGCATGGCTGGAGACACCATTGCCGAGAAGCCCATGTTGCCTCTGGGGAGCCTGAGGGGGGAAGCCCCTCGGCTGCTGGAGAAGCTCTCGTGTGGCAAATACCAAAACCACTCCACGAGCGTGGAAGTAGCTCTCGGCCTAGCAGGAGTGCGTGCAGCTCAGCGAGCTCTGTGGCAATTGGCGTTAACCCTGTCCCTGCTGCTGCTCCCTTCGTGGGAGGGCCGTCCTGAGGCTGCACACGCACTGTCCTGGACCCCACCCCAGTTCACCGGCAGACAAGTCCCTCAGCCCCCAGGTCACTTCAAGCAGGCCCCTGACCTGGGCTACTGCTATCACAGAACACGTGGCCTGGGCCACGTCCAGGGAAGGACATGCAGTCTGGCTCATGTTTCTGGAGCCTGGCAAGCACAAGATCAAACACCTGCATCTGTGAGCCCTGGCTGCTTCAATTCTTGGTGAGAAATGGACAGAGAAACAGGTACACTTGGAAGAGGGGTCCACAGGGGGCCTGCCTGCTAAGTGCAGCCCGCTCTCTCTACGGCGAGTTCCTGCAAGAGCTGTGTTAGTGAAGGACCTAGTCACCCCCTTGAGGCCCTGCCACCTTTTGACACCATTATACTGGAACCAAAATGAACATGCTCTGTAGCCGGGGGGAGCACCCCAACCTCGGTGGCCTCTGTAGGAGCTAGTGTCCAGTCTCTCCAACTGTCCACGAACTCAGTCTCTGGCTTACTAAGGATCCTTTAGGACTTTTCGACGTGAAGATGGTATGCATTCGGTAGAAGCCTGCCTTTGGTATCTTTTCAAAGATTTATTCAACTGAGTGGCAGAGAAAGAAATTGAGAGAGAAAGAGAGGAAGAGAGGACAGAGAGGCTCATATAAATCCTGTATTTTAATTTCACACATTGTTCGCTAAAATACAAACGCCAATACAGTTCTCCATCAATCTCCATGTTAGAAAAAGGCTCAGGAGAGAGTGTGGCTGTGCTGCGGAGGCCCATGCTCCAAGGAAGATGCAGTTAGATGCATTCTCTGGCTCTTTGCAGCGATCTGCATCTTTGCCACGATTCTTCTGAACAGCCAGTGTGTAAGTCATCCGCTGCTGCAGACATTCACTTCCAAGGGAAAAAGAACCCAAGGGGAGGGGGCACCCTGCACAGCACCACTTCAGCTGTGGGCCAACAGTGGGCATTCCACAGGCGTGATTTCTAAGCTCAGCAGAAGATTCTGTTGGGCAAGAACAAAAGAAAAAAGTTAAAGAAGTTTGCTTGAGCAGGTGGGGCTGATTTTAAGACTGTCAGGAGTAAAATAAAACCATCCCCTCCTGGGACTGGGAGGTGCCACTTAGGCAGCAAAGGAGCAGAAGACTGACAAACAAGACGGGGTGTGCCCACTGGGCCGGTAGCCAACTTCCTCTGTGGGGGGCCAGGAGGGGTGCACGTGAGAGTAACAGAGACACCTCCACCTTGGCAACAGCCCCACACGAGGGCCTGGCTTTCCTCTTACCTGCCTACCCACCCTCACGCGTCCTGAGAGGCGGCCTTGGCGTAACTCAGAGGGAGGGTCAGCCCCACCACCGGACCCACGACGCTCAGCCACGTGGTGATGTAGTTGATGTTCCTAGGAGATCCAGGGGACACAGGCAGCATTTTTTGCATCGCCAAGCGACCAGGACTGAGACCAGAGAAACGGAGGGTCCCTTACAAGGGGATCTCAAAGGGTGAGGTTTGACTCCCCCGTGGTGATTCAGTTTTCCTTAGGATTCACGACGACTACTGAGGCAGCACAGTGGCTAAGAGCGCGGCTCTGACGCAAAGCTCCCACAACATCACTTAGCTCGCTGTGTGACCTTGGCCATGTCACATAACTCCTCTGCTTAAGTTTGCTCCTCAGTAAACTGGGTAAAAGAATGGTCCACAGCCTACGGGGATGTTATAGAAATCCAGTGTGTTATTATATATAAAACTTTTATAACAGCACCTAGCACATGGTAAAAATCAATACGTGTGAGCCATTATTATTATTACAAGGCATATTTCTTTTTTAGCCTAGCTTTTATAGTCACATGAGAAGATTTACTTTTTTAGAATCCGAGGAGAGGGCAATGTATCTTGATGGTGTTTCTTACCTATTGATTTTCTGAGGCTTCTTTAACACGGGCGTCATGAATTCATCCGTCTTGCAAGGATGAAGTACAAAAAAGGGTTGTCCAAGTATCGGATGTTCCTGTAAGAGACACAGTGGGTCCAGGGGTGCCAGGATTACTTGCAAAATTAAAATCACCTGGTTTATTAATAAAATAGATAAGCTGGTTGATTCCTTGAAAATAAAAGTTCATTTTAAATTCCAAGTTACTCAGTAAATATACAACCTGATTTTTCTATTTTTAAATATAGTTTCTAATCCAAATATGAGAAGGTGGGAAGATATTCAGTCATGCAGCAGGGCAGTCGGGCAGGCTGTGGCTCAGGGTTGTGCCGACACGATGCCAGCTGTGCTTCTGGATGCTTCCAGTGCCTTCCCTGTGCTGGCCACAACTGTCTTGGCCCAGGATGACTCCCCAGTCTCCGTTATGGGCCTGTCCACAGAGCCCACTAGTCTGAACCTCTGAACCACACACTGCAATCACCTCTTTGGCAACATTCAAGGAAGCAAACAATCACTTGTATATTTTTGCATATGTTTTGTCAATATACCAATAATTTCAGGCCCAACTACACCCGGTGCCAATGGGCACACACTCAGAGTGGAATGGGGTAGGAAGACGCCCTGCACTATTTAAATTGTTCTCTGTCCATCTGTGCATGCCACATGCATGTTTGTGTATGTATCTCAGCAGCTCTTGTTGCCAGTTTCCCTCCTTTTGTCTCTCAAACATACAGACAGGGCTGATTCTAGGGTGTAACTCTACTGCCTATAATATACACAATTACTGCCACAAAGGTGTGGCCGGGCTTCTGCCAGACGAGGGACACAGGCAGATAGTACGCGGGAACCCGTCAGGCTTCCAGCGAGAGACTGTGCACAAATCCTACCCATATGGAAGACAAGCGTTGATGAGAAACGTACCGATTGCTCATTTTGTGCACACGCAACACCATCACACCGGACAAGCTCAAACACTGAGGAAGGCGGGCAGAGGGTCTCCAGGGGAACACCAGCTGCATGCAGCAGCAGACGATGGGGACCGTAGGGCCAGGGCGGGCATCCATCTGACGCCAGGCTCACTGCTCTGCTCCAGCTGATGGTGCCATGGTGGGGGGGGCACAGGCTGAGCACACTATTTGTTAAAACATTTGTCTCATCTGTCAAAATCACCCAGAAAGCCAGGAGTTTGGGTAAAAGTTCCTATTTCTAAATGTTTGTACAATCCAATAAAAGACAAAAAAGCATGGGCTGGAGCAATGGAACAGGCTTGCGGCTGCCCCTGGGCCACGGCCACAGCTGCCCCTGGGTCACGGCCACAGCTGCCCCTGGGCCACGGCCGTAGCTGCCCCTGGGACTTGGCCACAGCTGCCCCTGGGCCACGGCCGTAGCTGCCCCTGGGACACGGCTGTCCAGTTTTATTTCTTGGCTTCTTTTCTGCTTCTCTGGCAGCCCAAGGAGAAGCAGCTTTCAGAGCCACTTGTGGACGAGACCATGTGCCGTCCCAGCTGCCTCTTCTGCCCACCTGCACATGTGTGCACTAACTCCCTCCCCAGAACACCTGCACGGCTGTCACTGAGAGAGGGGACAAGGGCAGGGAGGGGGTGACGGGCCCTTGGCTGCAGGTTGGTGTATGCCTCCGGCATCTTCTCCCCGAGGGCCATCTCTGGCTGTCTTTGCCCAGCAGTCTGGTTCTTCCAGTAGAGTGACACCTTCCTCTACCTCCTCATCCCGCCCAACTAGGCCCTCAGGGTCACACAGCCCAGGCGTGTCACTCTTAGAGGAAGTCCTGGCCGGCCGGATGCTGGCTTCACTGCCCAATATTAACTAACTCAACAAAATACTTGCTGACCATCCCTCTGTGTCTCTTACAGTTCCAGATGTGGCTATGGGGACACTGTCTCTCTGAGGTAAATGTTCATGTCCTCCTCAAGCGCAGAAGTTAATTCTAACCCCGAAGGAGGTCCCTTGGGAAAGGATTAGTGCCCTTCTAAAACCGACCCTAAAGCGTTTCCCACCTTCTTCCCACTGTGTGACAACAGAGTGAGCAGATGCTGGGTCTGCCTGCACACCAATTCTGTGTCCCTTGGTTTTTGGAACGATGAGAATAACCATGTGTGTTGCTGGAGCCATCCAATCTATCAGACTTAGGTTAGAGCAGCCAAAACCTGCTAAGACCCCCCAAAAAAAAACAAAAAGAAGAAGCAGCAGCAGAGGTCTGGGGACAGCAGGATGCCAAAAAAGGAGCACAGGAAATGCAAAGGAACTTTAGGATTATCCTGGACTAAAACGATGATAGTTTATGGAGGACTGGTATTTTAGAAGCTAAATGTAGCCTCATTTCTTTCTGCGTGAGTTACATAACCATCAGGGAAGAAATGGAGAGCTGTAACCCAGTTTAAGGGACAGGAATCCATAAGATGAAACAAGAAGCTTCCGAGGTTGCACTGGGTGGGGACACTGACAGAGGGGCGGGTCAGCGCGAGCTCACAGCTCCATGCTGCCCAGCACTGCTCCTGTGACAGCTCTGCGCGTCATCAGGACCACTTTCCTGCCTGTCTCATGGGAGCCTGGCTTCCCCAAGCTGAGGCAGAATGGACTATGCAAAGGTTGCACTGTGAGTGTGGGGACACTGAGCGTGATGGAGACAAAACCAACAGACCTCCTGTTGAGCCCAGCTTCCTGCAAGGCTGGGCGAGTCATGGAAGATACTGAGAGACCTTGGCCTTGGTCCCTGGTCTGCACAGGCTGGAAGCATTCAGACCACCACACGAGTGTTTTCTAAGAATCACCTCCCAGGCCCGTTGCGGTAGTCTAGTGGCTAAAGTTATCACCTTGTGCCGCGCCAGTTCATGTGCCAGGCTGCTTTACTTCCAATCCAGCTCCCTGCTTGTGGCCTGGGAAAGCGGTTAAGGATGGCCCAAAGCCTTGGGACCCTGTACCTGTGTGGGAGACCTGGAAGAAGCTCCAGGTTCCTGGCTTCGGATCATCACAGCTCTGGCTGTTGCAGCCACTTGGGGAGTGAATCAACAGACGGAAGATCTCCAAGTCTGACTCTCCTCTCTGTATATCTGATTTTCCAGTAAAAGTAAATCAATCTTTAAAATCAAACAAAACAAAGAATCATCTCCCTTCACAGCTGTGTTCCCTACAGCCATCAGGATCAACTTCATAAGTCAAGACCTTGCAAGATCTTACATAAGTCAAGATCTTACAAGGCATGTGACACAACCATCACAAGGCCACACAAGAATGACCACGTACAATGTGAACTCAGCATGGCTGCATTCCTGCAGCGAGGTGACTGCGCCTTCAGCACTCCCTGGGAACATACCCCGCGGGTTTGTTCACTGGCTGTTGCTTCAGAAACACTTGGTCGTCACCTGTCCAGGTCATGCTCTGCTCATTCCACACGGCACGTGGCTGAAAGTGTGCCTGAGCAGAGATGCAGACTGTCCGAGGAAGGTCTGCTCCGTCAGGTAGCGGCTTTGAACTTCTGGGAAAAAGTACTTCCCCAGCTGTCTCCGTTTTGTGACAACTAAAGCCTGCCACATAGATTGTGAACTCTCAACCAGGCAGCATCAAGAAAGCACAATGAACCACTGTGCCTGACTCACAGGAACTACTTGGGTGGCTACTCTTACCAACTCATTCGTAACTGAATAGGCAAGAATAATGAGCAAATGCTCAGAATATGGGCTTAAAGCATCTTGTAATAAAACCCAATTTCAATATCTATCATGAGTAAGCCACTGAGATCATGTAACATAGTTGAAGAAAAATCACTGATTAGTGCCTAAATGTTTGAGAATATCTGGCAATAATTATAGCCACAGGATAAAGAAGCCCGAGCTAGTAAAAGGCCTAGACATGCGGTGACCAGAGCCGTCGATACATGTGTATTCGGGTTTAAACACAAAGTAATGATCGCTTCTCGGCCTTTTGGCTAAGATCAAGTGTAAACACAAATTAATGAGAAATCATTTAAATGAATTGCAATGAAAATAAAAGCATAGGCACTTCAAAAACAGTTCAGTAATCCACATTTTAATATTCTTTTTCCTTAAGCAATGTAATCTTAATTGCATTCTAATAAGTAAAATGCATGATGATGCTCACACTGAATGTCTTCTTACCTAACAGATTCTCACGCACCTAGAGCTGATCAAACATCCTCAGTGCAGGTCCGACCATCTGGAAACACGTTCTTTATCTTTCACTATCCTGAGACCTTACCTCTGTGTAATTACGTAGAGTATATTAAAATGAATCACTGTCCTTATAAAGATTGCTTCTTTCTTTGAAAATAAACTCTTCACAAAGCAAAACATTAAACTGAGTTTTAAAATAAAAATCATCTTTTTGGTATACAAAGATTGGGCTAGGACAAGTTGATCAGCTTAAAATAGGAATTATAATAAAACATATTTATGTAATATTTTCAGAAAAGTTTTATAAAAATATAACAATAGGAGTAGACTTCCAGCTGTGCTGGAATGAAGAAGTCAGCAAATTCTCTACAAGCAAGTACAAATCTGAACAAGAGTGTCAAAATCAAACCGTGCTTCCGTACTAAGAATACATACAAACTTTTAGAAGTATTTAGCTCATACTAAGATGTCAGAATTTCAGAGGGAGTTCTTCAGCCTTTTTGCCTGAAAAAATACCCCCAAATGCCCTTCACCGCCCACCGGATGCCCAGCCACACGAACAGGAAGGGTTCGCCAGAGCTGGGCCGACTTATCTCCAAGAAATGCCCAGAACTGTTCAGCAGCACTGTCAACAGAAGTAGCCAAGTAAGTCTCAAATGGAAGGAGCAGGCCAGAGCTGTGCTGGCCAGAGGTCGCTGGCCCTGCTGGGCGGGCGGCAGCCCTGCCAGCGCGTAATGGGAGATCCTGGAAACGAGAGCCCCAGAGGGGCAAGAGGACTCCTTCAGCACTGCTGGCTGATGGGAACTGGTTGCACAGCCAGGGCCGACTGGAGACGCTCTGCTGGGAAGCCAAAGCCAAGGCCAGCTTGGGCATCACCCGCGTCTCCAGTGTGCCATCAGCCACAGAGGAATGCATCATGGCCCCAAGGCA